GGGAGTAGGGGGGACGAGGGGGGAAGGGGGGGCGGGGGGCGGGGGGGGGAGATATTTGCCTACAAGGAGTTATGGGCCGATCGAGTAGAATGTTTTGCGTCCATCCGCACGTAAATTCTTTGCGATGCGAGGGTCGGATGTTCGTATCGATACGTGCACACGTTCACGAGGAAACAAACGAGCCAGCCGGCTTAGTTTAGTGGAACTTGAACTGTCAAAAAACGTGCGTAGGTTTGGTTTTCTGGATAGAGGCTTTTAATCAATTCCAGGAATATGAATATATGAATTCATATGAAATATGAAGATATTTATATATATATAAAATCTGTGTGTGTATTCATCTCTCTCTCTCTCTGTGTATATACACACACACATATATACACATACGCAGAGAGAGGGGGAGAGAGAGAGAGAGTGTGTGTGTATATATATATATATAATCTGTGTGTGTATTCATCTCTCTGTGTGTATACACACACACACACACACATATATACACATACGCAGAGAGAGGGGGAGAGAGAGAGAGAGTGTGTGTGTGTATATATATATATATAATCTGTGTGTGTATTCATCTCTCTGTGTGTATACACACACACACACACGGGGGGGGGGAGAGAGAGAGAGAGTCTCTCTTTCTCTCTCTTTTTCTTTCTTTTCCTGCTATTGAATGATACACTCCCAAGATCCTGGAAATACCCCCTATTGTGACATATGGGGTAGGGGGCTGGATCCTGTGATTGCACAGCAATCTAGCCAAACGGTGAAAGGGTCTACCTGCCCCCCAACTTTTAAGGTCTCACTTCTGGTTATTTCAACCTACATGCCAGAAACTGGATCCTCCGTTATGTTAAACAAAGGAGGCGTTTGCTGCTGTGGTCGTGTAAGCAAGCAGAGTCAAAACTGTAGAAAATGGTTCCTTCAAAATAATAAAAGGAGCCTGACTTCACAGTGCTCCTCTGATCGTTGCTTAATTTACGTAATATTTCTGGGTTACTTTTCGCACAATTCGGGTACCAAGATCTGTTCTATGAGCTGAGGGAGAACCTCTAAGTGTTTCTTTGCAGTTATAATCATAGAAAGCCCACTTTTGCTCCATGACAGCAACTGAAGAAAAATCCCTTTGCTTTGTCGCTGATGTAAATCCCCCAAATTGGACACTTTAAAGCTTTTGCTGCATTATGTTGGGGGTGGAATCAGCGGAAATGTTGGATTTATAGCTCCCATCATCTTAGCTGGGAGGTGTTGGAGGGCTTCTGTTGCAAAAAGTCTGCATTAAGTTCTACAAACAGACTATCTTGCAAACAACTATATGCCATTCCTTCAAGTTTAGTTCTCTCCCCCTTTTAGAAGATCATCTCTTAAAAGTGTATTATTTACCTAACTCTGTTTCCATTGCTTGTTTGTTTCCCCAACTGTTGCTTTATTTCCTTGGGATATTGTTTCCCACCCCGGAAAAGGATTTACCTCCCTCTTTGAAACCAACCAGTGGAATGAAACAGCAGTCACCGTTTTTTCTAACATATCTGCTTTATTGAAAAATTAAACCACAGTCTCTCTTTATGTACATACAGTGATATCATGAAGGGCTTCCCCCTTACTGGCTGGGGATCGATGAGAAAGCAGAGTCTGGGGAACATCACTGCAGAGGGGTCGTGAGGATGAAATCCTAAAACATCAGAACTGGTGTCCCCTGATGGTTTTATCTCCCTCTATTAGCGCCCAGATCTTCTCACTGGGACCCCGCAGTGGTGGTAAAGTGTTCCCGTGAGAGACGAGGGGGAGAGGCTAGGAAGAGCTAAGAGAGAAAGCAGGTGATGTTTTCAGACAGGTGACTTGCCAGGTCATTCCAACACAGAGGCAAAGGAGCAGAGACAGGTGAGCTAATTGGGGGTTTACGAACCCGTTAAGGATGATACCTGGGGAAAAGGATGATCAGCTTCTCTCCCACATTCTCCCTGCAAGGCTTATCAGCTTTAGAAGTGGGGGCACTTAGCAGAGAAACGGTGTCAAGGAGAGGTCAATCCAATCCAAAGCCTGCTTGGTGGGAAACCTTGTGTGTGTTCTGTCCCCACTATGCTCTACGTGGCCGGACGGGTGTGCACGCAACTGGACGCTTTAGACATCCCGTCACCCTGTTCTTCCCGTCCTTCTCTTGGTCGTTTGGCTTCGGGGCCTCCCAGGTGCCCCATCCCTAAAGTGCGACGTTGAATTCCGTGACGAGGAAATCGACGTAGTCCTTGTCTTTCGTTTTGAAAGCCTCGGCAATGATGCGAGCTGCTTCGCGGTGCTCCTTCCCGCGGAGGGCCGTGCCGTTCACTTCCAGGATCACTTGACCCACCTTCAGCTTCCTGCAGTTGTGAGCAGAACCCCCCTTCTGTGGGAAGG